AGCACGCAATGTCATAGCAACACAGGTAACTTATTGAAGCTAACAGGTTTTTACCCTTTTGGCAACAGAGAGAAGAAGCTCCAACGTTTACTAAGGGTGCGTTTGGGAGAGCATTTGCCCAAAGCCTTTGCATGAATTCAAAGGACTTTAGACTAAAGGGTGTTGGGCAGATGCAAATACTGTTCGGTAAACCCTCAAGTACATTTAATCAGAGTCATTATCCAAAATATAAATGAAAGAACACTCAACGTTTTGCAGATACACAGGAAAACTCGAAGCTCAGCGTTTTGCAGATACACAGTCACTTAAACAGAAAAAAAAAGCCTAGTTCAGATTGAACCATACAGAGTGCAGAAGTTTCAAAACATTAGTCCTCGGCTGCAGACTTGAGCAATTGCATATTCCCATGCTTATCAACAAGCTCTGGGACTGTTTATTTGCTAAATTTGGGTCATTCTGAAACATTCCAATTTTGTTCAACTTGCCAAAAAATTATTTCAATGAAAACATTCCGTCCGCTGCTCAAACAGTAGACCGCAGTATATAAAGCAAAAGATATTCAATTCAGCACACAAAGATACTGGTGAGAAAGTAAACTTAAGCACTTTATCAGCTCACTAAGATTGGGCGATAGAGCAACAATACTGAAGTTGAATGCACCGAAGATGCTGCAACAGTCAAGCGCAAACAGGAGCATTGCTTTGGGCAATCTTGCTAGTACTATGAGTCTATGAGAATGAAAAATGACAACAGAAAAAAGACAGAGACTAAATAGAATGAAACGGGGGAACGAGTGAAACTGAAAAAGGGTAACCGTGGAAAAATAATGGGAACAGAAGCGGAACCTGTTGAGATATTCCCAATTCGGAAGCTTGTTCAGGTGCATTCATGGCTGACGGCTCTGAAGACTCGGAGAGTGGGGGGGAGAGAGAGAGAGAGAGAGAGAAAGATGGGTCAAAGGAATGGTGGACAAGAACGAGAAGCTGCGAATGTGCTTATAATGGACGAGAGAGAGAGAGAGAGAGAAGAGGGACGAGTGTTACGAGTGACCAAACATGCGATAAATGCTCTTTACCTCGCCCCTCCCCTCTCGCCTCCTACTTCTCCTCTTCCTTGAGTATGACCACCCTTTCCAAAAAGCGCTCTCTGCATGATTTTCATCTTTCTTGCTCAACCATGCATCCACTTTCTTCATCTGTTTTTCCAGCCGAAGTAAAAGCCCAAACCTCGAGTCATGATAACTTGTAAAACATTCATATTCTTAAAAAGTAAGTGGTGATTTTCCGATGCAGCATCTTTTTTTATTTGATTGCTTACCAAGTTCAACTATAATATGAGCTTTTTATCTCTATAATTAGTCTTGAGCACCGTTGTGAGTTCAATTCAGGACTAGTACAAGTACAGTGAAAACATACTTTGCTTCCTTTCTTAATAGATCAATGGTTGTTCTCTCCTTTCTTCTCAATCTCTCCAAAATCCTTGGAGTTCTTTCATTTTTGATAGAGTGGGCTTTGTAGCTCTTGTCTGAAAGTCACTTTAATTTAGTCAGGCATTCATATTGGATAAACAAATCGTGTTTGAGCGACCGCACTTGGACCAAACTATTACACATAATTAGGCGTGCCGGATTAGGCAGTTAAAAAATTGACCTAACTTAAATACTTTAATGTGTTTGACTTTGCCAAAGTCATGGCATTGGCAGGAAAATTGACCCTAAATTAGGACGGACATTAGTCACTTTCGTAGCTGTCGTATTGGTCAGCTTAAATTACTGGGACTTCGTTCTAGAGGAATAATCTCATCTTATACAGTGCCTCCTCGTATTAGTTTTATAGTTTGGGCTTGATACTTCCTACACGAAACCAAACGATCTGATTGCCAAAACTAGAGCGTGAGAAATGAAGGTTTTCAACTTCTGCCAGCGATTATGAAGCGACCTACGACTCCGTTTGTTCATTGATTAGCAACATGAACCATATACTTTAGAGCCAAGTCATGCTTCCGTATGTTACGCAAACATATCACATGATGATGAGTATTTGCACGGTTCATGAAATTATATCGATAAATGAATGCCGAATTACGTGGCGTAGTTCGTTAAACTTTCTACCTCAGGTTGCAAATTGGTGATCAACATGCAAGAATCGATAGTGATGGACCGTGGCTCGGGATGAACAGTATGAGATGCTTAGATTTGATGTTACCTACCGAATAAAGAAGACTGAAAGGAACGGATGCTATCGCTAGCCTGCCCCTCTCTCAACCCTCTCAGACACCCGCTATATTTGTGTATCTAATAACCTCGAGAAATATGATTTAACACCCTCGTGATGAAGACAGCAACATTATGGGAAGAAGATTATCTTTATTCAAGAAACATGATGGGAAGCGCGTCATCGAACTCCACAAGTATAGCCCACTTTGGATCTATCGAAAAATTCTCAAAGCCCCTTCGGAGTTCTCAGACTGCATTATTGGGAAGATAGACGATAGCTCGAGACACGAGAACGTGCATCGCTGGCCAAAACCAAAAGGACTATCCTCTGACCCCTTTTTTAACAACCGAATCCTCGTTTCGATCGCTTGTTTCTCCCAAAGTCATTACATTGCATGTCCAACCGTACCAAACTCTATAGATAGTACTTGTTAGTACACTGCACCAAGAATTGTAAGCCCTACATGAAGATAGAATTTAAGAGCAAGGAGAGAAAAGATACATACCCTTCAAATGGAGGCGTTGGGTGTGGTTTCCACATCAAACAAGTATTAGTTGTAAAGTCTTGTCATAATAATCTCTTTTCCTTAGTCTCGGTCCCGTTTGCTTCAGCATTCCTAAGGGGCTCCCCTTGGGAAAATGCTAGGGTATTTGGCAAGCATTCTCAATGCTGGCTTTCGACCGAAAGCCAGCATTGAAAATGCTCAAAGCTCAAAGCTCAAATCTCAAAGCTGGTCATCAGCTTTGGGGTTTCAGCATTTGCCAAATGCTGAAACCAATTTTTTTTCTTCCCAAACTATCCATATTTATTTTTTAATATTCTAGTTTTGCTCCTCGTTATTACTGTTCATCTTCTTTGCGCGAGGGCGGCTGACTAGAACCAATGACACTAGATCGAGACAGCGAAGGGCCGGCGAGGGGCCGGTGAGGTCGCACGACCCCGGCAACGGTCGCCTAAGGTCGCATGACCACCCAGGTGACGACGGCCTGGGTCGCTTGACCTCGCGACCTCAGGCAAGGGCTGCCTGGGTCGCGCGACCTCACTAGGGGTTGCCCGACCTTGGGTGACGGCCACTAGCACCAAATCTAGCTCGCCGGCGGTTGTAGCCCTTTGCCAGCTCCAGCGAAGGGTAAGCTTTTTTTTTTAATAAAAAGAAAATCCCAAAGCCCTTTGCAAAAAAAAATTGCCAAATACTAACTGGGTCAAAGTAGCTTCATAATGAATTTTTTACCAAACGCCACTTGCATTTCTCCAAGGGCTTTAACCTAAAGGTATTTACATTCCCCAAAAATTCATTTGCAAAGTTGAACCAACGGAGTTTCGATATGTTTGAGGAAAAGTACCAAAAAAGTCTTAAATGTATAGCATTGGTACTAATTCAGTTATAAACCTTTCAATTGAACCAATTTAATCCTTAACCTTTTGTATTTGTGTTAATTCAGCATTGACATGAACATTTTTAATAGTTATTTATTTATTTATTTTATAGTTTTTCTTTTTTTCCTTTCTTTTGCTTCATTCCCTCTGCTTAGTCGAAAATCACTAAAGCGGTCACAAGCCATAGCTAGCAAAGGTTGGCCTTGTCGAACCTCGCTTGGGCGAGGGCCCCCCTTGCCACCCTTGCCAAATCTAGCAAGGCCATCTTGGCCAAGGCTCCCCTCATCAGATCTGGCAAGGCCAACCCATGTCCAAGTCAAGGCTGTGTCGCCTAAGCGAGGGCCTGGCCAACCCTTGCCGGCCATCATGCCCGTGGCCGGCGACCAGCCACTACCAACAAGAAAAGGGAAAGAAAAAAAAGGACAATTGTATATAAAAAAAAATGGCCACACTAGCATCAACCATGCGACGTAAGACGACTGGCATTCATGTTAGCAATTTACTACCTAAATTACCACTAAATTGGAACAAATATAAAAAGTTTAGGACTAAATTGATCCAATTAAAATGTTTAAGACTGAATTTTTATCAATGCAATAATTAATTACTTTTTTGGTACTTTTCCCATATGTTTGCTTCATTTGGTTGATCACTGGGCTAGACTTCAATTCATGTACTACAAAGAGGTGAGATAATTAGATTGTTTCTTTCATGGATTGTGAGGAGGTAACCAAAACCCTCGTTACGAAACTCGAGCATAGCAATTCAATCATGCGACCCTCCAAGTGTGTCCATATTCTTCCCCATAAAAAATTAATTTCGGGATCCTTTGTCATTCATTTTTACATTTTGATTCCCTTGCTATGTCGTATTCCCTTCTGTGATGGCCCTTCTTCTATGAGCTACGAGTAGGGGGATCGACCAGATCTACGTATATGACAGAACGTCCGATGGTGTCCAATTTTAAAATCCAATAATTTTTTTTTTGGTCGGATAAAAAAAAATCCAATAATTGAAACTTAGATAGACGCTACAATAAATACAGAAAGCATTAAAATGCCGCCAAAAGAGATATGAACATATACGAGTCAAACGGTGAATCCAAGAGACGCGCAAACTTAAATTGGAAGGGCGAGATCCAGACAAGTTTCCAATACTTATCTTGGCGTAGCAAGGCATAAAATAGTTACGTTACATATCTTACATAATAATACTCCAGAGTCTTAAGTCTTGATCCATCGTTGCACGCGCAGATCCGTAGCACTGTATGCAGGTTAACTAAACGGGCCACATAAAAAATTGATCTTTCTTTCGAAAGCAATGCCAGCAGCAATGACCCGATAAAAACCCCGAAAATTCAGCCTCAACCGATATATTTCGGCTTGCTCAATAATTTGGTTGATGAAATAATTAAACAAAAGACAACATTTCCCCATTGCATGTCTAGAAAACGAATCTATCCGCATACATTATGCAGAGTGACTCTTCACACGGTACAGATAAATCCAGCATAACATATGCAAGTATGACCCAACTCAATTTTGACGGTGATACTGTCACTGCCTCTTACTGTAACTTCCACCAACTAATAATCAATTTCCAAGTGTTCTGAAGGTGAAAGGAAAAGCAAAAAGCCTCAACAAAACCCAATCAGATAACAGCCATCAACTCGTCCGGACCAACAAATCATTTGAAAGACCAGAAACTAGAGGACCAACCCAGACAAATGCCAAGAGACAGGCAGAAAAAGAACATCAGAAAGCCACAACCTCATTGTGCCCGGTAGATCCTGGTGCAAAAGCAGTCCCCCTTTAAGCTGAGGAAGCAGGCTCACTTTTCTTCTTCCCGTCTGCTGGGGTAGGTTCAGTTTCTGCTTTGCCTACTTCCTTTGATGCTGGCACATCTTCACCTGATTTATCTTCTGTTTTCTTTTCCTCAACAGTCAACTTATCAAGGAGCCCTGCAGTTGCTTTTGCATCTTCATTTTCCTCTTTCTTCTGTTGAGATTCAGCAACCTCCTGGAACGTCTCCATGAAGTTTTTGCAATCTGATACGACAAAGGAAGAAAAAACAATAAAGACATTGCAAGCCAGGAATCATCTATAGCAATCAAACGAGACAATAACTGCAAACAAAGTTAAGCCACTAGAAATGCAAATGCATGAAACTTTTGTTATCGTCTGCCCACATGCTTGTCTCCCAGTGAGATGGAGCATCACAAAGAATTTTCTTTACCACCTCCACCGCATTTCAAATCAACAAAATTACAGCTTAATTAAGAATCAGTAGAAACTTCCTTTGCCCGGTTTAAGAGCACACTCCATTTAGTGACTCCATGAGAACAAGGGAAGTTGACTCCATGTGTTAAGTTGTTCAGCTCATTCGAGCTGAAGACAGGCAAAGGGTAAAGAACGACCAAGAGAATCAAAAGACAGCTACTACTCAGAAAAGGAATTCACTTTTCAGGACGCACAGTTCATAACTGAGAAGAATTGATCCATTGCCGTAATATAGAGTAGAGACTAGATATATAGGACCTTAAGTGAGCCCAGCAATGCCAAGTTTCCATAGCCTTCAACTAAGGCATATAGTTTGACATGACGCAGAACTTCCAAAATAAATGAATGGCCTATCTCATAGCATTATTAAGTAGTCTTATCACAAATAATTGGTGCACAATACGTAGTACACTACAAATAAACTAGTGTAATTTACAAGGACTTCGAAAATGTCACCATTGCAATAGTACCGGAAGTGATCTCAAACCCCATAAAAATCAACAGCCTCAGTCGGCTTCCGTAACTGTTGCTAGTTATATTACTTTACTAAAGAGGCACAGAGCATTTTCCCATGAGTTCATTACCTTGTCCATCCTTCTTTTAATGGACATTCACTCACCTAAGAGGAGGAACAACTAATAGAGAATGTCCTTCGATTCCCCCCCCCCCCCCCCCCTATAAAAGCTTTTAATAGACTTGGGTGGTAAATCCAATTTCACCACCCTCATATGTCAAGTTCTGCTCCATCGACTACAGGCACTACCACTACTCAGTGTCCTTCATAACGATGATGTGCATATATTAGTGCTCCTTCAAGTCTTATACCCCTCTTATTCACTTGCTTCAATGGAAAAAATAGAAAGTCTAATTTCACCAGAAACACTACCCAGCAAGCGTATTCAGCTTGGTTCGTACACAAGCAATCACATACTGTCTTTGCTCTGGATTGATTCACTGCTCTTGGAGAAGCAACATCCAATTCCCAAGCCACTCGTGCTATGCAGCTTAAGTTATACCTCCTCATACACTAGGGGATCTTTAAATGAACCACACTTCTTTGTCAACATAATATAGTCTCATAAAAGGTTTAACTGTCTTTGCTACATGACAATGCAAACCTCGTCATACATAGGATACTGTCATGCCTGTCGTATTAAGGGAAACTTCAATAATCATGCTCCAATCAAAAGAGGAAATTCCATCAAATTCAGTTCCAAATCAACCATACTGAAAAATTAATCACTCACTTGTGAATAAGTTGTCAAAATCCCAGTCAACTCCAGCATTTAAACTAAACTCCTCTCTAAATCACTTTGTAGTCCATTCTGCTGCCCGTAAGATTCAACTTAAAACATCTCATTCGCCACAGTTCACTAGAGCTGAACATCATTAATCTTCGATACATGAAAGGAGAAGGAGCTTCAAAACAAAGTTCCCACTAGGCACATCTTCCGTACAATTAAGCCATTGAATACTCGATTAGAGTTAGATGATTCCAATCAAAGCAGGATGATAGATATCAAAAAATCACTTTGTACATGGCCAAAGCAAATTAGAGTACATGAGGACACAATTAACAATTTCTTCTGAACAGCTGCTCCTATCTTACGATCGATTTCATTGATGATCAATATTGACTGATTCCGTTTGCGAATTATAATTGCAGGTCCTGTTTCCTACCCTTTGGCCAATGAAACTCTCATTCAGGGAAAAAAGAAAAGGAAAAGAAGGGAATCCACTCACTTTCGACGGATGCAAATCTGATACAGAAGAGCTCATCCTTCAGCTCTCCGTCAGCAAAGTCCCTCGCGTGCCAAACGCAGGACTTGTCGTTCCCGGCATGTTCCTGGACCGACATAGTCGGAAGGACTGTAAAAGATAGCCACATAACGCAGAGTCAAGAAGGGCAGCAAATTTGTGAAACAAACGAAAACAATACACATCAAGATAAAAAAAAAAACCATAATGGCTTCAAAAATTACGCACTAAGATGATTGGCACAGATCTTGAGGGTCTTGGACTGTCTCATGACCAGCCGGACCTTCCCAGTTTCCTTGTGCTTCAAAAACTTGACAGAACCAGCACCCCTCTCTTTCCACTGATTTCCTTCCTTGTCGAATCGATAAAGCTTCGACTTTCTACGCATCCACACCAAGATAAACGAAGAGAAGAAGAAGAAGAAGAAGAAGAAGCGATTAAAACCCTACGATCTCCAAAAAGTTTGACTGACGACGATAAAAAGAAAAATCGGACAGCGACGGAGTAACGGAAGGGATAATCGGGAAAACACATACAAATCGAGGATGGCGTCTTCGTCTTCCTCGCCGGTGGTGACGGCGACCTCTTCGAGCCTGACGATGGGAGCGACTTGGGCTCCGGTGTCCTCGTCGTCGCCGGCGGGGGCTTCCTCGCCGTCGCGGCGCTCGTGCTCCGGTTCTGTGCTGGCCATCCTAGTGAGAGAAAATCGGAATTCAGGGAAGAGAGAGAGAGAGAGAGAGAACGATGGTGGTGGCGCTGGGGTGAAAGAGAGGCAGAGCGATCAGCGAGTGCAGAAGTAGGGGAACAAAGGGCAAGCGAGGGTTTTTATATATTCGTAGGAGTGCAGAGGCAGCTGATGTTTTTTTTTTCTTTTTTATACTTTTATCGTTCGCAGAGTGCATTTGACAACCATTCTATTTTCGAAAACTGAATCTGCTCAGAAATAATTTTTTTTTATTTCGTGCCCGAGAAAATTTCTAAGCATTTGAAGATATTTGGTAACTGCCCGAAATTTCTAATCTTGAAATAGAAAAAGAACAGAAATGCGTTTTGTAACTACGTAAAATTTCTTTTTATTAATGATATTTTAATTTTTTTAATATTTCTTTCTTTTTTTTTCCTTCCTCTTCCCCTTCCTTGGCCATGGCTAGGTCGCCAATGCCGGCGACCGGCCACAGGCGGCTCCGACGAGGGCTGGACCCTCGTCGCCTCCCTCGCCAGATCCTGCGAGGGCGGCTCGCGGCCTGGGTGAGGGTCGCCCTCACCAGATCCGGCAAGGGCGGCCCTCGCCCAGGTCCCCCTCGCCAGCCCTGGCCTGTCGCCGACGACCGATCATAGGTCAGGAAGAAAAAAAAATTCTTTTTCATTTCTGATTCTTGTTCCCAAAATCAAGAAAGCAACTTTTTTTTGCTTCTTGATTCTGTTCCAAAATTGATTTTGGGGATAAATTTTTGCAAATTTGTACATGGGAACAAAAATTTACCAAACAGATTTCTATTCTAAAACTGATTTTGGAAATAAAAGAATAGAAATTGTTACTGTTTGGCAACTTGCCGAACACGCCCTTACTTCCTATTACAACTATTCAATTTTACCTCTCCGTTTTTCTTTTTTTTTTATAATAGCGGTCAAAAGAGTTTATGTCAACCTTGGCACCCCTGAATGAATTCACCTCTCCAGGGAATTTAAACTTTTCCAAGTCCATCTAGAGCATTCAAAATTCAATAGGATTTGTTACATATTGGCTATTGTATGGGAGATAATATTCGGTGATTTGCAAGCGTCACGTCAATGGCTGACGTGGCGGGCACTTGTATATTCTCAACCAATTACGTCTTGACATACATGGATATTGCTATGAAAATTAAAAAATATTTTCTTTTCTTTTCTCTTCTAATAGCCGACCTTTGTTTCCACCCCCTCGGTCGTCGTGTGTGAACGAGCCGTAGCTCGTGGCCAAGGCTCCAGATCCGGCACAAATGAAACTGGTTCTACAAGGTTGTTTTCAATTTTGGTCCATGTGTGTTGAGTGGTGGAAGCAGAGACCGGCTCCAGCCATGGATTCTCTTCCTACCAAATCCAGTCCCTTGCCGCCAGATTTGGAAGTAAGGCACCAGGCAGGGGAGGCGACCAAGCCGGAGAGATGCAGCGCCGGCCACTCCGATGGTGGCAATGGCGGAAGGAGGTGAGGAGGTTGGCTAGTGGCTATAGATGGAAGAAGAGGAAGAGAGATATCCAATTGGATTTGGAGATTTTTTTTTTTTTAATTTCCACGTTAACGTATATGTGTTTGTAATTGATTGAGAGTAAACAAGCGCACCTCATGTTAACCGTTGACATGGTGCTTATAAACCATTGAATATTTTTTCGTTTGTGTGGACAAGTGTCAAACATCACATGCTCATGGAGGCATGGCTTTATCCTATACTATACACATCAAACTTTTACCTTCGCCTCCACTACTGTGCTGCACTTTTCAGATGAATTTCTGTACAACAATATCGTATATACTTAGTAAGTTACTCCAATCCTCGTGGAATGTCTGAATCAGAAGCAATGTAGCCTTTAAGCCCAATGGATAGGCAGCTTACACCTGTGCAAAGACATAAGTCCCAGTTCTTCGTATGGGCCAGGCCTGAAGATCCCAAGATCCGTACATCGTGCTTGAGCTCCCCCAATTGTTTCTTTTTTGACCCGTTCTGGAAAAAAACATATGACCAGAGAATTCAAAACATTAACATCTCCGACTCTAGTTTTAGATGTTATGCAACGAGGGCTAAATCAACATCTTGCACAAGTCTAAGATGCATCACGACACTCCTGGGATCGACGAAAGAATGAGAGAAGGCTGAAATTGAATTTGTGTAACACTTCGAGGCCGGTTAGAACTGCTTTCATCAGAGTGATATTTATCTCCGCTACGTTCCTTGTCAGATTGTTGCAAATTCCCTACTAGGAGGCAGCCAACCAAGACAAGCAAACACCTGTATTTTCCCTTGTGAATTTTTCTATGCTTCTCATTGTGACCCAGGAACGTACAAGGCAAAGTTGGCTCGTCGAAGTTATCATCGATATGATATCGTAAATACGATAACAACGTCATCCAACGACCCGAAGCATAGAGCAATCGGCCAGCTTGCCATATAACACCTCATAAGGACTCTTCATTTGTAGCGAATTAGAAAGGAGGCGATTAATCAAAAAGATTAATTGTTATTAAGGCCTTTATCCAATAGCAAGGAGGTATCGATGCATCAAAAAGTGCTAATATTCCCAAATCAAGAATGTGCTGATGTTTTTTTTTTTATCAATGCCATTAAGCTCTGGCGTACCGGGAATGTGACTTGGTGTCGAATCTCGCTTTGAATAAAAAGATCGAGTAGACCATGACTACAAAATTAATCGCCTTCGTTTGATTTTTTATTTTCTCGAAAGAAAGTTATATTCATTTCTCAAAAGGATAGATGAAAAGTATATAGACTTCTTGACAAAACGAATAGAAACAGAGCAAAATTCAGAATACTGCAAAATAAAGCCAAATTCAAAAAAACATAGATGATTAATAGAGCACCAACAAGGTTAAGTATACACTCATTCCATAAAAACGGATCTATTAAGCAAAATAATCGGTGGCCAATCATTAGATCTTGTATCTTCGTCAGTGATAAGTACGTGTTAGAATTTTTTTTTTCAATAATTACGGCATTGCCAAATGACGGTGCATGCCTAGGTTCAACTTCCTATAAACCATCGTTGTACGAAAACAACTAAAATAGGTTGAACAAGCATAGATCTTACATGTGGAAGAGAAAATCTTTGTGATCTAACGAGACGTCAAAACTCCCACAATTACCATTGATGCTGGAGGCAGGGAATCTATACACGAACAAAGCGGAAGGGTATCGAATCCCCAAAAGCATATTTATTAAACTCTTAGATTTAGATCGGGAGAGAATAGGTCCAATATTTAGAATTAGATCATGAGAGTTCAAACTCTCACACTTAGAACTAGATCGGGAAAAGAGAGCTCTCAGATTAAATTGAAAGAGATGGAAAAATAAGAAAGGAACAATAAAAACACAAATAAAATCAACAAAAGAGGAAGGGGAGCGTGAGACTCGCTCAAACCCTCACCCATGGCCAAAGGTTGAAGAAGACGGTGGAAAGAGAAGAGACAGAAAGTGAGAGAAAAGGACTTTTCGGCTCCTATGCCTTCATTTGATTGGAAAAACTTGATTGGTCACTCGAATTGATTCTTCTATAACTTTTGAAACAACAAAAAATAAAATTAGAAAAAAATAAAATCTCCTCTTTAGTGAATGCAATTGACAATATCACGAAAAATCTTCAATAAAGGTCCCGAGACTGATGTACCGCCGAAACACTGCTATATTTTGACTATTTGGATGTTTCAATCTTCGATGCCAAACTCAATCATTTGCTGACTTTTAACTTTGAGAGGAAAATGCTGAATTTTGTTCATCTCTCACAGCATACAAACCGCAACGAAAATCGGCTGATATCAATACCCGTTGTGTCTTTTTATCCTTGATACAAATACTTGATCCCTTAAACTCAAAATAACAAGGATAATCATGCACGCATGATTTGAGAGATAGAGAGAAGACCCTTCTTTATTTGGGACACCACCAAAACATTTCGAAGTGGTCAATGCATTTCCAATTAAGACCAGTACCAATACGAGTAATTGGAACACCATCGCACTATCAGAGCCATGATAAGGCATCAAGTTGGTGAGTTTATTTAATTCATCGGTGGTACGAGTTCTAGCTCCTGTGTCCGGATGCCATTCTTCATCATGCAGATCAGAAATATGCAAAGCAGTTGGGCTGTGGGGAATGTCATCACTTTAATAACTGTTGTCGAATCGATGGAGTGCGTCATGACCCTTCTTTTTGCATATTGGACAAGTAGGCAAAGGGGCTTTAAGACATCTTTGTGGGTTTGAGCGAGCAGGCTGGGAGGATGTGGTGCGACTTCCCTGATGTGATTGCGAGAAACCGCGACCTCTTGAACTAATGCTAGCTGAGCCGCCACGACCTCTATTGCCGCCTCCTCGGTTTCCGCTGAGGTTGCGCTGAGAAACAAATGCTATGGAGGTGGTTGACGCAGCAGTGAAGCTTCTTTTGTTATAACTCATAGCTTTGAAGTTGTGGAATAACTTCCGCATATGATGCAATGGGTGGTCGAAGCACGGCGGTGTTGAAAGACTCATAGTTGTCGCTGACGCCTTCCAGCAACATGAAAACTTCATTTGCATCCGAAACAGAATGACCAATAGCATTTAATTGATCACAGATGGTCTTGAATTCTCTAAGATAGATAGCTAGGGGTTTAATCGAGAAGTTCTCGGACTTGCGGCACTACTATCAATCTTTGAGTCTAGCTAGTATACACTTGCGCATAAACAAATACAAGTCGCATCACAAACTGTCTTCCTAGTTTGCAGCAATCAAAAGGAAGCGAAAAGATCGATAATCACTCTCTGAGGTATCTTCGGAACAGGCTGGCAAGGTTGGTGATGTATCCCACATGGAGCCAAATCCAACCATGCTGTGTCTCAAGTCTGATCTCATCTCAAACCCGGTTCATGCTGTGAGTTTGTAATGACACCTGACTTGTACCCCGAATCACCGCCAGCCGAAGGCATCATTTGCTCCAATCCAAAACCAATCTAGACAGTACGTAACTTTAAAGTGTCCAATCACTAGCATATGCAAAAAAGAGAATCCGAAAGGAGAAAAATTAAAGCAAGGAAAAAGGAATCGTGTTGGAAGTGCATAGAAGATTCTTTGACAGCTCTGTTCGTCAGGCTGTTTAGCTGTAGCTGAATGTGGGATCAAGAACCGACACAGAACATCGACACCGTTGTTGGGTGTTGCCCAAATCTGGGGTTAACCGGGACAGGCATTGGTTTGGCGATAAAAGATCGTGCTTGGGAGAGAAGCTTAAGCCAGCTCACTTACGACAATAAACAAATACATGGAGGACGAGGTAGATTAGTTGTCAAAATGGTGCGTCGATCGCCGTGTGTGCTCAATGAGGGTGTCACGGGTTAACAAGCGGCAACGTTCCAGGGGGTGTGTGACGGGCCATGTGAGACAATAATGTTAGGAAAACCAGATTGGAGTGATGAAGAAACGACAAGTAAAAACAGAGATATGCCTAAGCCTGCGTGAGGATTTCATCGTTTCACTTTTTCAACAAAATCTATCTCTCACATGCGAGAGACTCGTTGTCGAGACGCAACTGGTCAAATTCTATTTGCTAAATCAAGCGTGAATCATGCATGATGGGATTGGCATTTCGGTCACGGACGCATGGGGTCGGGTCAGCTGCTTTCAATGTTCCATCCAAACGACATAAGTCCCGAGTCGTCATCCTCCCGACACTCCACCCGTTCACCTGGGATTGGTCCTTCCCAGGGCCTTTTACCACCCGGGGCACGCTTCCTCTCCACGGGCAAAACAACAAAAAGATGGGTGGAGGAGGAAGAGGAGTGACTGAACTGAACAAGTAAAACGTGGCGAGAGCCAGAGCTCTATGCGTCCGGTGGAAATGAATTCTCTCTCTCTGAGTCTTTCGTTGCGTAGGGGGATTGAATTGGCCATCGACCCAAGGCATTAACATGACCTACTTGATCCAAAAATTAGCAGGAGTAGGTCCGAGCTGGAGCTGAGCATACCAGAAGATAAACCACCAACGAAACTACAGTGTGTCGGTATCAATTATAATCCTCGTATATGTCCCGCTCATGTATTCCGACGAGTGCTAAACGCTAAATGTCCAATTGCGGCCGGTCGCTGAAGTGCTTACGCCCGCACACCAGTCATCTTATCCTCCGTTGCCCAACCCTTTCTATAAATTTGCTTTTTATGATGGATGACTCCCAATTTGACGCCTACTTCGCTTGGAAACGAACGACCAGCGAAAAAACAAACACATTGAATCGCTTCAACTTTGACCCTCGCGGTCTTCGATTTCGAGACTGCTCATGACGCACAGCGCACATCACAAAGGCGTTCGCCAAAGTAGCTTCGCATGCACGCGTCTATAAAGACGCAAAAAATCAAAAAAAGGATCGCCCCCAAGAATGCGTCTGGGGTTTTGACCAATTAAAAAAAAAACAGAATGCGTATGGGGGCACGTGGCTAGTGCTGGATGGATGGATCGTAGCTGGCCGTGAACGCACCGGTTTTTCATCGATCGATTCGACCACGAAGAAGAAAAAGGCGAGAGAATGTGAAATAACAGAACAGCAAAAGTATATTCCGCGACAGGATTCTCAACAAACAATGGCAATAATAATGTAGTAACAATACCACCGCACCACCACGCAAGGTGTAAAAGCCCGTTTCTTTTCCCCCTACAGCTAAGTAACCGCCGCTGCCGCCGCCGCCGCCGTCCTCCTCTTCCGACCAGTCCCCACCAGACGCCGAGCTACTGCACCGGGCCTCCTCCGTCGCCGAAAGCCTGCCGCTAAAATTTGAATATTCCGCAATTCGGCTCCCGTTTCTCCGTCCTGCCCCCGACGCTTGGCCATGTTGCGAGCTCGTCCCCGCCTCTTCCTCCTCCTCCTCCTCCTCCTCGCCGTCGCATTCTCTATTCCACCTCACCACCGTCCAACCCTCCGTTTCCCAATTCCCCCCTGCTCTCGAGCTCAGTTTACCAATCCTGGCCCTGGCGTCGGCCACGTCCTCGTCGGAGATGGAATTTGAATTCGGGCCCGCCTCGTCCCCATCTTCTTCCTCTTCCTCTGCCTCGTCCTCCTCGTCTTCGAATTCCGAGCTGACCCAGTCGAGCACGCACCGCGGGGACGAGTCGGCCACCGCGTCCTTCTGCAAGAACGGATGCTGCAGCAGCTGATCGCAGCTCCACCGGGCCTCCGGGTCTCTCCTCAGGCAATTCTCGAGGAAGTCGCGGCCCAGCTTCGACAGCTGAGCCGGGTACTCGGGCATCTCGCTCGAGTACCCTATCCGACTTAATGTATCGACGCCGTGATCCTCCCACGGGGGCCGGCCCGTTACCATCTCCACGACGGCGCAACCCAAAGACCAGACGTCGCTCGGCGGGCCCTGGCACTCGCCGCGGATCACCTCCGGCGCCATCCACAGGGGACTCCCGCGCGGAGCGATCCTAGCCCCCGAATCGCCAATTCTGATCGCCGAGCCGAAATCGGCAAGCTTCGCCGAACTCGGATCCTGGCCCACCAGAATATTCCTCCCCTTGACGTCGCAGTGAACAATGCCTCCGGCGTGCAGTTGCTGCAGAGCAGAGACGACGCACCGGGCTTGCGACCTCACGATCGCCTCGTCCACGCCGGAGAACTTGCCCCCGCGGCGGGCCGCCAACTCAGCGGCGGTGCCGCCGGGCACGTACTCCATGTGCAGGTTCCGGCAGCGCGCCGTCTTCGCGGGACCCTCGCCGGCGGTGACGTCGTCGCCGAGGTAGGCAACCACGTGAGGGGACGGAGGGAGCGAGCGGAGGATCCGAATCTCGTTCTCCAAGGACTCGATTTGATGGGGAAGGCAGGAATCGTCGTCGACGGACTTGACCGCGAAGACCTCCCCGGTCCGCCTGTCGAAGCCGAGGCTGACGGTACCGAAGGATCCTCTGCCGATGCAACGGCCTCTGACCCAGGAAGCCATGGAAGAGAAACGATGTATGTCCGAAGCAGAGCAGTAGAAGAAGAGAGATTGAAAGAAAGAAAGAAAGAAGCTGAGGGAATTGCGTTGAGGAGGAGCGCGTGTGTTCTTTCTTTGTTGGGTGGGGTGGGGGTCGCTTTTGAGGGGGCCGGATACGAAAACGAGAATATATATGGGCGGGCGGGCGTGGGGGGCGCGCGTGAAAAGAAAGAGAACACGGAACATGGAACGTGGATGTTCTGCTCTGTTTTTTTTTTTCGTTTTTGCTTATCCTCTCGATCCTCCCCTGGAGCCTGACGTGGGATTAAAATAAGATCGAAATCAGAATTTGGATAATTATTAAAGGAGGAGAAACTCGGAAGAAAAAAGGGCAGAGAGGAACGGTTTTGGGGGCTGCGGGGGGTTGACGTCAGGTGGGGGAGTTCTTGGGGGCGGGCAACTGTTACGTAACTGGGTGTGGTGCGGTGCGGTGGATATGATCCCTTGCTTTCAAGTTTTATCCTTATCCCACCGCCTTGTCACTCCAATTTTCTCGAGAAAAATTATCTTTTTTTAATGACTCGCTCTTTTCGTTTCGCAGAGTTCCTTATTGCTTGTGAAATTCCGAGTCACCCCCCGTAATTACAACACGTGAAACATTCGGGGCAATTACGAGGGGGAGTTCGTTAGGAAGTGGGTTGTCGTGGAGAATTGGGTCGTGGATCCGCACGCGGGAAGCAACCCCTCCGCCAGATTTCGGTGTCCCGCCTCCGGGTCCGTGAATTTCCTTTTTCATTTTCGCGTTCGTGAGTACTAAATAATCGCGTGTCCTGGGGTAACGAGTGGGGCCTTGCGATGGACGCGCGACCGCTTTGATCCGTGCGTTTGTATTAGGCCGAGAGAAAAGATCCGATGGACGCGCGCACGCCACGAAACACCAGGTGGCAAGAAGGTTAAGTAAGTAAAGAAAAACCGAGGAAGGGCTCCAAGTTGGCAACGAAAAGGCGCCCGGGGTGAATGCTGACGCAACCCCGCCGCCCCACACACGACCGGTGTTTCGAAACTAGCACTGCGGGTGGGGCCCCGACCCGGCCCCGCCCCTCGCCGACGTGGCGGGCAGGGGTAGGTCCACGTGTCGGAAGCGGATGTGATTTTCAAGTGGCCGGCGAAGAAGGGAGGGGGCATATACGATATGATGATGCCCGTCTGTGTCGGGATTCGGCTGGCGATGCTGGGGCGTGGCTTTTGCAGCGAGAGGGTTTTTTTGAGTGGGGGGAGGGGAGCCTGGTGGGGTGACGTGCACCGCCGGCCTCCATGTATAAAAAGGGGATTTTCGTTTTTCAATTTATTTGCTACGTTGACGTATTTTGGATATATATATAATATTTGTGCGTGGAATTTGCATGCTGGAGCTGCTCGACAGGCCCCCATCCATCATCTCGTAGGCCACCAGAGATTCGTATCTCTTCGAGGGGATGAGGAAGACCCACTCCTCACCCTCACCTCGTGGTGCCCATTTTTCTTCTACTTCTCCCTTTTTCTGATTGGCCCGCTCCTGAAAAAACACTTCGCAAAATGAGGAGCACTTCGAAGGGCCAGAAATTGGAAAAGGGCAGGCTTGCTAGCAAAAATTTAAAAGGCCGACATTCCATTCTCGTGTTTACTTGAAAAGAGCACATATATATATATATATGAGGACAAAAATGGTCCGATAGTTATATCATGAATAATAGAGACGGACATAGTGATCCCAATTCTTGTACGGTGTGATCCCAATTCCTTAATGGATGAGACTCGGCGAGCATGATCTTTATCGTGGATTTATACTATGTAAATAATTTGAGTTCATTTGATTATTTTAAAGAGCATCCGAAGGACCCTTTTTTTCAGTTTAAAAAAAAAATAATCGAAACAAGAAAGATCAATAATAAGGCATCTTTGGGTAAGGCATCTTTGGGTAAGGCCTCTTTGGGTGCGGATGTATTGTTTTTGCACGAATAATGGTACTTCTTTCTTCTTTTCTCTTATTTTTTTTTTAAATTTTGCCGATTTCTACTGGCGAACATGATGAACGTTGTGGAGGATGGATTTTAAGAGTGGATAAGGGGGAATGTCCATCACGTAACCCTCGCCCAAAGGGAAACCTGAAAAGAGGACGAAGCTTGTCCACAAGTTAACTTCACTTACATGGCCACAGCACAACAAGACAAGCAGCAGAAGCAATTTAGAAACTTCCGTGGACCATCTTTTTGGGGGTTCGTATATAATAATAAAAGAAGAAGAAGAAGAAATTCCCGGAAATGGGTAACGTGGAAATGCACTTAAGACCTGGCCTACTCCTACTCCACCTGGGGAATCACACTAGGCGCAGAAACACGACAGAGAGATCAAAAGGGGAGAGAGCTGGCGCGGCGAACCCATAAAAAAAAGTTGGACTTTGCGATTGATGATCTGCATAAAAGAAAGGAAAGAAAGGGGGGGGAGGGAGGAATTCGTGATATCTTTTCGCGATCACGTAACCGGTGACGACACGCATCGGGACGCGAATCCGAAGATTTGTCGTCGACGTGTGAAAGGTGAGAAACTTCGGGTCGAGGAAACGCCAGTACAGTGCCCGGGGAGGAAGCGATCCCCGGCATCTGCTTCTCCTTCCTTCTTCTGCCTTCCTTCCCAGAGTGCGCGTGCCGTACACAAGTCGGTCTAAAGAAAAACAAGGGCGCCCCCCACTCGACACCGCTCGCAGCAGCTTCCGCGACCCTCTAATGAAATATCAGCAAGAATTGTCTGATAATTATCTAGAAAGTCCCCCCCCCTCTCGTCTACAAGAATCAGAGAGACGTCACCAAATATCTAATTGTATGTACTGATCTCGGACCGCGTCCATCGACACGCATTTTACGGAAAATACAGGACATGCTCAAGAAACTTCTGTATTCACACTCTTCTTGGCCTAGACATCTACCTTCGCTCGTTCACATCCGCTGGCTTAGCACCAGGACCATACACGTTTCCTCATAAAAACAAAGAATGGAAAGTCGCTTCGAAGCTTCCATCTGGGTTTCAGTAGACTTTCACGTTTCGTCTTTTCTAGAAATGATACAAGATACTGATCATAACGATTAGGGGTGTACAACCGGACCGGATTTACCTGGAAATCGGACTGGCCCACCCAAAAATAGGTTTGGGAACCGGTTTCCGTTTGAACCCGTTTGGGAACCGATTCCATTTTTTGGGAACCGGTTAGAATCGGTCCGGTTTCCAGTTCCAAGTGAAAACCCACTCGGACCGGTTTTAGAACCGGTTTTATATGGAGGTCAACTTGCAATTTTATAAGACCAAAATTCAAAGCATTATATCATGAAGGATGAGAGAGTGATCAATTTGCGGATAGTCTAACTCAAGGGCTTGTAAGCATTATAGGGAGCAATTTCCTTTTTTTTTTTTAATTTTTGTTCTGTAACGAAGAAACTATATATCCAATTAGAACCTATATTGTTTTATCAGGTCCATTAAATTATTGTGACTAAGATAATCTGCTTTTGTATGAATACTTAAGATTGTTTGCACAATCAAACTTATAACCTTTGATTTGAGTTATAAGTTTTCCTATTTACTACCCGGAAAAAATGAAACCAAAAAAAGGAAAAAAAAAAAAGGTTCTCGGGTAGATCCTGGAACCGGATCGAAAAAACAGGGTAGGTTTCAAAACAGGATCCAAGACAAACAGGATAGGTTCCATGTTCCAAAGACTACGAACTGGTTATAACAAGGTCGGTTTTAGGTTCCAGATCTAGAACCGATCCATCCTAAAACCGATCACTCTTAATAACGCTCATCTTCGTAAGAGAGGGGCACAGTGAATTGGACTTATTGGATCCCAGCATATGATGCTATATATCGCTTTTCATATATATTCTAAGACACGTGATAAACAAAAGATCAAATCGCCAAAGATGCGATGTCCTCTATTGCAGAAAAGCCTCGCGTACTTTTTTTGCAGCTTCCGCGCGACCCCTCGAAGGCGTCCAGAATTTTCAAGACAGAGGATTGAAAGGGCAATTACAATTCAACTTTAATCCGACTTAGCTGCTAAACAATTAACGCCGAGCCGCCTCCATCTGCACCACAAATTACATGCCTCAATCTTCCCTTCAAGGAAAATGATACGAATGATCCATCAACTTTGACCCAATGTGTAATGTGATCCCTGAATTTTTAATTTGTTCAATGTAATCCCTGAACTTTATCCCAATGTGCAATGTGATCCCTAAACTTTTAAATTGTTCAATGTGATCACTGGACTTTCGGTACATATTCAATTTAATCCCCGAACTATATGAAACTGTGTGATGTTATTCCTGAATTTGAATTAACGGAAAGACAACATTAAACGTTTTCATATGATTAAGTGTTCTCTCGATGTGAGACTTTGTTCGACTAAATCACTACTCACGCCAGCAGTGCACTTCCTATCGAGGCTATAGATTTTGCCCACAAAAAATCAATGCTCGTGGGCGATTCCTTCGATAAGTAAACCTTCTTTTTACAGCAATAGAAGGACAGAGGTGTAATGGACTCGTTAGCTGTCTCTACTCAAACGCAGAAGGCAACGAGCACTTTTGGGTGACTCCCAGGTTTTATTATATTGCAAGAAGTTAGGAACATCGTGCGCCATATGCAAAGCAGGAAAGGCGAAGATGCGCATTCATGCCCAAGAGCGCTATTAAGCGCGACACGTTCATTAAAAACTCAGCCAATACCAAACCCACGTCTTCTAGCGACAACAGAAGAATCGTCATTGCTGGCTCGAGATTTTCCTGCATATCTGGCCCGCGATTTGAGAGGACAAAAACAGGAGGAGACACAACCTAACTAAAATACGCGATATAAGCAGAGCGAGAGTTCGTAGCGTCGTCTAGAAATGAATACAATCTCATGTGTATTGTTCGGATTTGGAGCGCAATGCACTGGAAACACCGCCGACATGTGACCAAGCAGGTCGGGTGAGGAAGAGAGAGCCTCTAACCACACGATTGAGCAACAGAAGCACTGTGGAGAACGTGACTGCGTTGTGGGTGGGTAGGCCCCGAGGCACGAGTCTGTCCGTCCCTCTTCATGTGCTTTTCTCTTCGTGGGCCTCTCTTGAATTTAAAACTCATTTTTGGCGAAAGAAGTTAATGCTGGGATGGGCCTTGCTTTTTGTTTACGCAGGCAAAAGCCTAGTTGGTCATGCTGGGTTGTCTTCAGCTCATCCCCTATTTGTCCACCGTGCAAGTGGATCTTGGGGACGGTGGTCTGCCGCCAGTTATCAAGTTCATGTGGTGTGTGATCGTCGTCCTCACAGATCTATCCAAATTCTATGCTGGGTGTGTCGGAATTGGTCTTTCTTGTTATGTTATTCCGTGCTTATCGCATCGAGATATGCTGATCCTTGGAGTATTGGGTCATCTACCTGAACTCCATAACTCATTTATCAACCTCTTAGTTTGAAGGCACTTCTTTCTTTGAAGCACTTTTAAGTTAAGATGAAAGGAAAGGAAGGACGATTCCGCCTTGATTTTACTCCAAAAACATGAGACGTGGTACATCATACACTCGTACCTTTGCAAGTGTCTAAAGTTACAAAATTCAGATCAGGAAGTCACTTTGGAATTTGACATTTGTTCGAGTGAGTGAGTTAGTCGAGTCTTGGGTTTTGAACAGCTTGCTGAGTTGTTACTCTCAAGACTGATTCATTCTAAAATTAGAGTTCGCAGTATTGTTTTACTCCTTCTGAATTTCATTTTCGTTGGAAAATCCAGAATCCTGCATCGCGAAACCCTTGAATCAAACATGATCCGTGCGTTCTATCCAAAGAGTCCGCATCACGTTGGGGCCACAGCCCAAGCTACTCGTTTTCTCCCCCGTTCTAAAGTGTATGGTGGGCTCGTGTATGGTGGCGCGGAATTGAGAACAGGGTCCATGAAGTCTTCTAGATGCAGTCTCAAAGCCCAACCTCCTTCATCGACCCTGTTCTCAATTCCGCGCCACCATACACGAGTTCCATATTCGTATCCCATATGACTGTAGTCTCTAAGACGTGATCAGTTTGTATGGACGATAGCTCATTAACACCGACTGATAGAATAAATTGAGCGAAAGTCAATATATTACAAATGAAAAACTCACTATATACGTGATCAGTTTGTATGGACGATAGCTCATTAACAGCAGCAGCTTGATCCTTAATCTAGCCTTTCATGAAATGGATAGAAATCTCATAAGAGGGGTTCCAGAATGGAAATGGCTAAGGTAAAAGAACTTAATTTCATATAAATCTGCGAGGCAGTATCTTTATACATGTAACGAATGAATAGAATGTTGTACCCGTCAAATAAATCCTATCACTGATGTAAGGGGTCTTAAAAATCCCCAAAAAGAATGGTTAATAGAGGTACTATATCAGAGTAGCAGAAGCCTACATGATAAGCGAACAAAATGTGTATGATCAAAGCCATCGTCATCAATAATGTCACCACCGGAACCGAGCAACATGAAGAAGAGTATCATCTTGTCCACAAGCCTAATCAGCCCCAGCAACAGTTAGGCAAATCTAAGTCAAATGCTAGTCCAATCTCTCAGTCATAACTATGTAGTAAGCCATCACATGTACCGACCCAATTGAATCAGCATCACACTTATGTCATCGTAAGAGCCACGGGAAACAGAGAGGTCCACAAGCTTCCTACAGGCGAGCATTGGTTCGGGCCCTTTGGTACCCATACATAAAGGCCGAGCAATATCTACAGCTTCCTGGTTACTGACCTGAAATCGACGGCACAAAAGAACTTCAGTTCCTTTTCAACAAAGCTTCCAAAGGATTCACGAATAATTAGCATGCTCATTTGTTTTTTTTTTTTCCAGAAACCGGAGCTCACCTTGTCCCATAAACCATCAGACGCAAGAATCAGGAACTCGTGCTCAGCTTCAATTTTTAACATGTTCGTTTCCGGCTCAGCTGTTACCCACTTTTTGAAATGCCGATCTCCGATTCCTCTGGACACAGCAAGAGAACCCTGAATTCTCCAGACTCCATGGTAAATATCAACATACCCACCCTGCAAAGTAAAATGAACATAGAACATTAAGTCATGAATTCGGCTGGGACAATCTTAAGATAAATCTTCAGCGGTATGCAAGTTTCAGGAAAACAGAATTAGATATTTTCTAAATCCTCACCTCTGCCTCAATGCGTTCCTTTTCATCTTCCCTACAAGGCCTGTGATCAGATGTGAGAGCCTCTGCAGTGCCAGCTCTACAAAGAACAGCTCGACAATCTCCAGCATTAGACACGAAGAGGTTGCCCCTTCTAACCAAGGCAGTTACACAGCATGAGCCGCCTCGTGATTCCTCGTTCAGAAAGTCCAAATCGGTCTTCAGGTAACCAAGCTTCACAGCCGTCTCCGTTTCACCCTCGTCTCTTCTCATAACTTCATCAATGATATTCCTATTCAAGTTTTCCGCGGCAAACTCCGCAGCCATTGCACCTCCATGCCCATCGAATACACCAAACAACGCCTGCAAATTGAAAGTAGCAGAATCAGATTAGTGTCCTATTGCATGTTGGCCGAAAGCTACAACGAACTGAACTGACCGAAATTCCTTTCAGAACTAAAACTTTTCTCGAGTTCATCACCGTTTCTTCGATTTTAGCTTCAGACAACTTAAGTCAGTAACCTAAAGCTTCCAACCAGTTTCTTTCTGGTGATCACAAATACGAATCACGTCTCATCCTGAACCGTTCTAGAACAGTAGCATAAACCAAATTTGGGATTTCCATCAAAACCCTAAACTCTTCGACTAAAGCTAAGCAACAGAATTAAATCCCAGGAAACAATATCACATAATCGCTAGGTTCAAATTTATCTAGAGTACCTAGGTATTCACAATCCACCCCGTCATCATGATTAAGAAGAAGCCCTAACTGGAAAAAATAAAAAAAATAAAAAAAATTTTACCTGCTTGCTATCTCCATGGATACCGACCGAAGCAGAATACCGATCCTCCATGGCTTCCCTCCTCCCTCTCTTGCAATAAACAGAGTACCCGTACTCCTCCCTCTCCTCGACCACGACATCCCTCGCCGGCGTCGAAGGAACCCCGAAGCACAGCGCCGACGCCGGTATATCCAGCCTCGCGGGCCTCTTCCGCTTCAGAATCGTCGGCGACGTGCCCGAGCCCGCCGAGATCGGGACGGAATTAGAAGTCGAAGAAGAGGAGTTGGAGAGGCCGGTGGGCGGCTTCTGGAGCCGGAGCCGGAAAGGCGACGACGGCGACGGGGAGGAGGAGGGCGAGGAAGAAGAGGGAGGAGGAAGAGGAGGAGGCGGGGAGGGCTTGAGGTGAGCGAGGGACAGGGAGAGGGACCCCTCGGGGGAGGAACAGAGGATGGAAGCCTTGTTGCAGAAGAGGGAGGCCGAGATGCCTCTCGACGGAGAGAAGACCGGGGAATTGGAGACTGCCACGGAACAAGACATGGCTGCCGTCGTCGTCGTCGTCGTCGTCGACCGAGGTTGGTCTCGCCTGTGGTTCTCGCTCGATCCGCGCTCGGATGGTGTTCGGTCCAACGTTCGATTTTTCTTGCGCAGGAGAAGAAGGACGAAGGAATAAAGATTGTCGTCTTTTTTTCTTTTTCGCCGGTAGAGTGAGAGAAAGAGAGACAGAGATTGAAGGGTATATAAATGAGGGGGGTGGGGGTGGGGTCCGTGGGGAGGTCAGTGGTTTCTTTGCGGGAGAGCCGCGTGTTTGATGGGGAGGGAGAGAATTTTTCAGGTTCATATTCAACTCTGGTTTGACCGGGGATGGAGACCGCTCCGAGAAGCGTGAAAGTTCCAAAATGGCCCTCCCCGTTTTTTTTTTTGCTGCCGGGCTAATTGTGGAGTGTTTTTGTTTCGTGGGATAAGAAAAAGGATCTGCCTTTTTTTGAAATAATATATACGTGCTTGTTATGGTTGTCTTATATCGTAATCAAGATTTGAAATAATTTTGACATTGTGAAACCGAGTCGGGCCTCTAAACTGAATTCATTGATATTGTCGGATTTGATATTAATTATCTATAGTTCTTCCAAGGTAGACATCTATGAAGTTGCCTTGATGTTATGGCATGTGAAGATTCTCTTTTCTACATTTCATCACATAAAGAGTCGGTGACGGCACGAACGTTAGTACGCATAATATTTCCACGCGTCAATGCATCATGCATCATACACCCCAAATGAACCTCGCCATAACGTCAAAGATTTGTTTCTCTTTAATTCCTTATCAAGAGGTTTGTTGGTATCGATTAATAATCGTAACGGGCCAATAAATGTTTGAGATAAGGAAAAAGCACAACTTCTCCTCTCCTGCTTGTATTCGCTACTGTTGAATTTCTCGATTTTTTATATCGAAAATGGGTAGCTTTTATCGTCTTTGTTTTCCCAGGTACATAAACTAGGTTTATTACGGCTCAACGTTTTCAGAGTCCCACAGAGAATTACATGGAAAGAAAAAGAAAAAAGTAAAACCGATGGAAAGAAGGGGTGGGGGTAATAACGTAATTGGCGAAGAGGGAAAGGAGGAAGTTTGGGGGGGGGGGGGGGGGACTCGGGAGTGGGAGATAGCAAAAACGAGGGTTCAAAGTTGAAGGTCAAAACACGTTGCGTGGTCTCAATTCAATACGCTTTCTTTCTCTCCATCAGTAAGGCAAAGAAGAAGAGTCGGCCCACCTTTACTCCCTAAACAAAGAATACCCGATATTTTGTGATCTTTTCCTTCCTTTTTTTCTATTATTATTATTATTATTTTTTTTTTTAGTTTTCGCAGGTCACGTCACGCTCTTTCCCTTGGCTGTGAGCAGCTGTGAAGACGGACGAGGACGGGACCGAACGAACGGGAACAAGACGAGGAGCAGCATCCTCGACGACCGGGGGTGGGGCCCCCACCTTTGCCACCTCATCGGTGTTTGTTTTGAATTTTGACTCGTTCGTAACATCACATCACATCACATCACATCACATCGTGGGACAAAGAAGAGGAAGGCAGAGGCGCTCTGAAGTTACCGTTAGGCCCAGCGGAAGGGCCAGTTTGAAGTTGATATTAATTTTGCCCTTTTCGCATCCATTGACCGTTGGCGCTTCGGCCTTCCGGAGGGGGTACGGCCGCGTTTCTCAACCCCCACTCCCCAGTCACCATAATAACATCGCGATCGCTAACACTCGGTCCCTCCCCGTATCATACGCTGTCTCAATTGTTTACAATTAACGAGTACCCGGAAACCCTAAATAGCTTAGAAATTCTTTCATGGGATTGTGTTGAAAGGGGAAAAATTCGATGATCACGTAGCGAATGGTGTACCGTTGGACCCGTCGGTCTTTCGTTCCACCATATAGGAGCGTGCATCGGTCTCAGTCCAACCCGAGGACCAGACCAAACCGGCCAAATCTGGGTGGCCATGGCTCCTAAGGGGACCGGTCCGATTCTCAGTTCTACATAAAGGGACCGGACCGAAGGATCGGTCAATATTTCTTTTTTCTTTTTTGTTCTGAAGTAACCCTAATTAGTAAACTAAATTTTTTCTTTTAATGTTGGCAAAATTCCATCAGGATTGGGTGGGTTAATTCTCAGTTCCGCAAATTGGGAACCGACCCTACCTAGTCCAATTCCAGAGTGGATCGGTTCCCACCCTGAAACCTGGAACTGATCAACCCCTATCATCACATGTAGGATCGCAGATGAAACTTAGCTCAAGAGCTCACTTTAAACTCCAACTCGATTGCTCCGATTTTATTTTCATGATTTCTCACTTCTCCTCTCTCAAATCGAGTTAGGGTTTATGGCCTAGCAAATTGGGGGGTTTTTTATCTCATGAGCTAATCGAGATAAATTTTTTTTAGGACAAACATGTTTGTTGTTTCGGCTAGATGGGACTGCGAGGGGTGATTGGCACACATTCGTCCACTTCTGGGGTTCGATAGGAAGTCGCTAGTCCACTCTTGGGGTGTTTTGAAATAAGTGCCACTCCGAGGGTCTTTTAAGGAGATGCGGTTCATCTAGGGGTACTTTGAAACTTTCCCTCTACCAATTTTAGAAGAAAAATGAACGATACGAAAGAATATATTTCAAGCGTGTGAAAACAGACAGACCTCTCGTATTTTCACACAGAATCCCTCTCGATAGCAATAGTGTCGACATAAAAACTCGTTGCTATCTGTCAATGAACACGGTTTCTCTATGGAGACGCATACGATGACATAAGCGTCATAGGATCCCGATCAGATTTCGTTTTCCTGGCCATTAATCAACCCACCGTCAAAGGAAACGCATGAAGCATAAGTCAGTCCATAGCTAGTCTACTCTTGGGGTGTTTTGAAATAAGTGTCACTCCAAGGGTCTTTTAAGAAGATGCGGTTCATCTAGGGGTACTTTGAAACTTTCTCTCTACCAATTTTAGAAGAAAAACGAAAGAAATGAAAGAATATCTTTCAAGTGTGTGAAAACAGACAGACCCTCTCGTATTTTCACACGGGATCTCTCTTGATAGCAATAGCGTTGAAATAAAAACTCGTTGCTATATGTCAATGAACACGGTTTCTCTATGGAGACGCATACGATGACATAAGCGTCATAGGGTCCCGATCAGATTTCGTTTTCCTGGCCATTAATCAAACCCACCGTCGAAGGAAACGCACGAAGTATAAGTCAGTCCATAGGTAGCCGACTTTTCTTGTTTTCAATTGTGAAACCCTCGAAGACCAGACTGACTTTTGCCTTGAATATCTGCAGGCCCCACTAGTTTGACAATTTGTAAACTGGGCTGGGCCTCGAGGAACTTCCAAGACCAATTTAACGATGCCAGCCATGGTCACTATGGTCAGTGACCATCAGTCTCACATATCCGTGTCGTTGGCACATCTTAGGGTTCAAAATTGATCTTCATCACCTCAAGATGGTTTTAAATATCGGAATTAGTCATAATCAAGATCCCCTGTTTAGTAACGACTAATGTTTTATATTTCTAGTTCTCTATTTCTTTGTCCAGTTAAGATTGTGTATACTAGTATGCACTCTTCATGAAGGGAGACCCTTGTTTATGTTTCTAGTTCTCTATTTCTCTGTACCTTTTCTAGTTCTCTATTTCTTTGTCCAGTTCAGATTGTGTTTACCAGCATGCACTCTTCATGAAGGGAGACCCGTGTTTCTCTCCTCACGAACTGGAGATTGAAAGTCATATGGGGCGAGCAGTTCACTCTTCTTCTTCTTCTTCTTAAGGGTCTTCTGAGCAGATAAATCATTTCGAATTATCATAATATCTAAACTTATTTCTCCCCTTATTCAAAGGGGTTATAGCAATTTCTCTACGATTTGTACTCTGATAATATTGATCAATCATCGATTTAAAGAAAGAAAATATCGATAGTCCAGGCTCTTACGTTACCTGGTAGATAGACGTGTCAAAATGGGTTATAAACCCATTTTTTAACCCATATAATAATAAATAGATTATAAATGGGTATAGGCATAATATGAATTTTAAATAGATCATAAATAAATCGTAAATTGATCATAAATGAATTTACAACTTATTTAAACTCAACTCATCTCTCTCACCCTCACTTAATCTAACGCTTACTCACTCTGAACTCTCATATTAGTTTAAGTGTTAGTTTTCCTAGATTTAATTAAATATGAAAGTGTTTTAACAATATGAGTCGAATTGGGTCGGGTATGGATCAAGAAAATTGCGATTAATCACAAACGGTTTAATGGGTCAATTTGGGTCGGACCATTTTTTGATCCGATCCGCTCATTTGACAGGTCTATTGGTAGGGGAGACCAACTTCAGCTCAATTTCGTGTTCAGAAAAGAAAATAAGACTTGCTAATGTAGAGAAAAAGAGGTGATGTAGTTCCCCGACGTCCAAAATTACTTCACAAAGAATGAAGCACTGGATAGCGAGGGGAACGATTTTATCGGCCTCACTCTGGAAAATGCCCGACACAACCACATCCGGCGTAAGCCATTCTGATTGCTTCAACGGCAATATGAAGCCAAACGTTTTTTATTGCAGCAACAACGACAATAACAACACCAACACAGTCTCAACATCTGGATTGGAGTACTAAATTTCAATTTCAATTCCAATTTCAATCTGGATGACGACGCATCTGTCTGCTTGGTGAGACTCAGTCCCTTAGATGTTCATAAAGAGTTGCGATCATTCTCGCAAGTCATTACAGGTCTGTAGAGCTCATCACCGTCTCACTAACAGAACAACAACCGCACAAAAGAACGAAAAACACTTTTAAAAGAAAGGACATTGATTTCAGTTGAAGGTGGAAATGTAGCTGCTCCAGTGTTTCTCCCAAAGCAAAAAGAAATCTGAGGGAGTTGGTTATTGAAAAGAAAGCAACACGGAGTAATATTGCTTCAAGGGAACGAGTCTTGTGGGAATTGAATAACCTCCTCACAGACCAGATAGTGAAGCTCAGAATACAAAGCCATCCCAATCTCACGCAGATCGACACACGTGTAAACGCATACGAAAGCAAGTTTCACGCGGAAGCAATCCGACTAATCAACCACGGATTACCTATGTCGGATCAACCGACGACGACGACGACGACGAAGAGCATGAGAGCAAATCCAATCGAATGGAGGAGAATCGTTCAAACCGAAACCCTAGCTTCCCCAGCGCCGTGGCGATTGACGGTGCACAGAAATGGGGTGGGTTCTGCCTTTATAAGAGAGAGAGGGACAAATCCGACGGTCGAAATGCCGTCTCGTTTCAGGAGATGAGCGGCTACCGATGCATTTCCGCTACGAGCCTGGCCGTATTATTTTGCCCTAGTTCTCCCCATCAAACCAACAGCGTCCGAAGTTGCGTGCTATCTATTGGGCCTTGAGGAAGCCCATGAAGGTGGCCCATGTCAGAGTTTGTCCCTCTGATGGGCCATTTAGTGTGGGCTCACTTATTTGAGAACTGGGCTTACGTTTTTCCCCACCTGTTTTGTTTTTTTTAGCCCCCACTTATTTGGGAAGTGTTTCCTTTTCCCCTTCTGCTAAAGCTCCGGATGAAAAATGGGCAGCGGAAACACAGCACAATTATAGAACTACATACCTCTTGCAGTCTCAATATCAATTCCTCCGGAATGACCGGACTATTTTACATTGCTAGTCAAATCTACAGTCTTTATTTAATACATCACCGAACCCCTAAACAACTCGTGCTACTCGAGCAAGACTTGGGTTGCACGATACAAGAGCTCTTGGATCAATATAGACGAGAGAATTAACGCACAGGGTGAGCAACGGTCCAGGGTTGACCCTAGACCAACCCTGGACCAGCCCAACCCTACTGGTCCCGGTCCGGTTCCTAGGGAGACTGGGTCGGTCCTTGGTCTTGGGACTCCTAGATCTTATACTGTGCGGATTGGTCATCAGTCCTGAGAGTTTATGGTTAGTAATAAAAATATATTTATTTGTTTTCCAAAGAACCTAGGGCCCCTCCCTACTCTTCTTCTGGAGTTGAAAATATAAACCCTATTGACTATTGAGTGTCACATCTCTTCTTCCCTCGCTTCTTTGTAGCTATTCGCTGGATCAATCTCTCCTTGCTCGCCTCACGTATCAGCTCGCCTCTCTTGGCCCGCCTCGGTGCCTCACGAAAGGTGAACGCAGGTCGCCTCACTCGACCTTCCTCGGCACCTCACAAACAGCGAACCTCACACAAAAATTGAAACAATCTTTTGAAAATGAACATGATATGAAATTATATAATTCATGGTTTATGTTATGTATTTTGACTATTTTATTTTACATGTTCGTATACTATTAAGTGGAGATTTTTGTTGTTGTCTTATCTTAGATTTTTATTTGATTTGTACCGAGATCCATAGTTTGGTTACTCAATATTGCATTGTCGATGGATATGTATTTTCAAAATGTACTGTTTGTCCTTTCAAAGGAATAAAAAAATTGATTGGTCCCGAGTTGACCCTGGAACTAGACCAGACCCATAGGAACGAACCAGTCCTCGGCCCGAAGCTCAATAGGGTCGGTCCTTGGACCCAAAAATTAGGGATCAACACTGTGCGGGTTGGTCCCAAGGTTAGGTGTTGGACCGGCCCAACCCGGACCATGCTCACCCCTAATCAATATAGAAGAGAGAATTTCGACAGCTAATAATTATTTTTCGATGTTTTCTATATTCTGCATTTTTAGCTTGTGAGAAGCCCCCACCTATTCAGAGAAGAAGGTGAGAGAAGACACTTAGGGCGCGTTTGGTAACGCTTCTGTTTCTCTATTTTTCTGTTCTTCTGTTCCCTGGAACAAAAAAAGAACAGAAATCCGTTTGGTAACGCATTTTATTTTTCTATTTCCTGGAATAGAAAAGTGGCCAAGAAATAGATTTGGAGCAGAAATAAGAAGTAGAAAAAATCTACTTCTTTGTTCCTAGAAATAGAAATAGAAATAGAAAGGTCCAGTCCTCAAGTCGCGACCTCAGCTCCTCCTCCATCCTCCGTCGTCTGCAAACCGTCTCAAAGCACTGGTCCGGTCCATTTTCGGCCGAAATAATAATAAAATTATAAAAAATTAGTTAAATTATAACAAAATTAAAAAATTCTAAAATTTCATAAAAATCAGAAAAATTCTCAGAAAATCCATAAAAATCAGAAAAACTCATAAAACCCATAAAAATTTACAAAATTCCGAAATTGAAAAAATTAAAAAAAATTCATAAAAAGCTTTCTGGAAAATAAAAAGAGACAAATTTTGGGAAAGTAAAAAGTTTTAATAAACTTTTCCCCAAAAAAAAATTCACATAATGGCTTAGAATAAATTAAAAAATTCCGAAAATTCATAAAAATTAGAAAAATTTCAGAAAAATCCCATAAAAAATTAGAAAATTAAAAAATTCCCAAAATTCATATAAATCAAAAAAATTCTCAGAAAATCCATAAAAATCAGAAAAACTCAGAAAACCCTTAAATATTTGCAAAATTCCGAAATTGAAAAAATTAAAAAAATTTCACAAAAAATTTTCGGAAAAATAAAAAGAAACAGATTTAGGGAAAGTAAAAAATTTTAATAAATTTTACCCCAAAAAAATATAAAAAATTTCCATAATGGCTTAGAATACCTGTGGCCACCCACTTTGAGTGAAATTTAAATTTTTGAGGTGCCCAAGTGGTATTTTTTAAGATTCCTTAGTTTAGGGATTAAAAGGGGTTTTAAACCCCTAAAAAGGATTAGACAAACCAATAAATCATGCTTATTGATTTTTTTCACTTATAACTTGTACTTATAATTAAATAAAAGATATAGATTTGAATGCAAAAAATTGGGAATAGAAAGTTTGTGCAGTTACCAAACGCATTTCTGTTCTTTTTCTATTCCAGGAATAAAAATTTTGTGCAGTTACCAAACAAATTTCTGTTCTAGAAATAGAAATTTTGTGCAGTTACCAAACGCATTATTTTGCTCAGAAACTCTTCCGGGAAATAGAAATAGAAAAAACTATTTATGAAAAAAAATTGTTCCCAGAAATAGAAACGTTACCATACGCACCCTTAGTTTTCTTTTATAATTCCTCATTACTCCACCGTTGTACAATATAAGGGTGGAAGAATTATTATTTGCAACTCCCACATAATTAGAGGAGTTATTTTTTTTGTAACCTTCACAACACTAATAGGTGTCTTTAATGGTTATTTACTAATAGTTCCACATTAGTTCGGAATTGAGAGTTCGCATGCTTCCGTGCTCCTTTTTTGTGCAATTAAAATTTGTGGGTAGTTAGCGGTTATTATGTACTGGAGTAATGTTATCCAAATGAACCGGCGGTTATCATCTTTTGAATTGAAGTGGATAAGTGGAGTCAAAATTTGCAAGTGTTTATCAGCATTTAGATTAGTGGATGAATGACATGCATTTCTCTAACCGCTTTAATCTTTTTGGTGGGCGACAAGAGTTTGATTTACAACTACGGATTCAAATATAATGACAAGAGTTAGTAATGCATAGGGGACGACATCAAGTTCAAAAGTTTGCGAATGTTTACAATCATTTCGAGAGAAAAGTGTCAAAAAAGTCTTAAACATTTTGCATTGGTGCTAATTTAGTCATAAATCTTTTTTTGGTGCCATTCAGTCCTTCCGGCTAATTTTAATCGGATTTTGCTGACGTGGACGTCGGGCAGCCTATATGGCACCACCGGCGATGACGTGGACAACTTTTAATAATATTTTTTGAATTTTATTTATTTATTTTAAAATTTTCTTTTTCTTTTTTTTTTCTTTCCCCTTTTTCTTCCTCCAGTCGGTCACCGGTCCGGCAACCAACTGGAGGCCAGGGCTTGCAAGCCCCACCGGCCACTGGCGAGGGTCGCTCCGCCGGCCACGGGCGAGGCTCACCCTCGCTAGCGGCTAGGTGAGGCATGACCTTGCCGGATGACCGCGAGGGCGGCCTCAAGCTGGGCTGGGTGAGGCGCGACCTCATCAGATCTAGCAAGGTCGAGCCTCCCCCATGGCCGGCAAGGCTCGACCCTCGCCAGATCCGGCAAGGGCGAGCCTCGCCCAGGCCAGCGCGAGGCTCGAGCCCTCGTCGGATGGCTGCGAGGGCGGCCTCGAGCTAGGCTGCGCGGCACGACCTCGCCGAATATGGCGAGGTCGGGCCTCCCCCATGGCCAACGAGGGTGAGCCTTGCCTAGCCAGCGCAAGGCTGCCCTCGCGGCCATCCGGCGAGGGTCGAGCCTCGCCGCCGTCGCCAGTGGCCAGCGGGGCTTGTTGGCCGGTCGTCGGACCGGCGACTGGCTGAAGGAGGAAGAAGGGGAAAGAAAAAAAAAGAAAGAAAAGAAAAAAAAGAAATAAGAAATTTAAAAATAAGAAATTCAAAAAATATTAAAATATTATTAATAGTTGTCCATGTCATTGTTTGCGGTGCCGCGTAAGTCAGTTGGCGTTCATGTTAGCAAAATCCAGCCAAAATTAGCCGTAATGACTGAATTGATACAAAGACAAAAAGTTTAGGACTTAATTGGCACCACTACAAAA